AAATATTACAGTTAAGCATCTCTTTATGATTATACTCCTATCATTATTTATCCTTGAAAACAGCAAGCAGCACTTCATTTTTAGACTAAGGCAAGACAGTGTTCAATTGTTTCATTCTTTAAGCTCTTACATCATCATCGTCAATACTGTACAACGTAACGCAATGAGGCAAACTTCGCTGATGGTTGACAGGCGCATAATGCATACAAGGCAAGTGCGACTGTTTAAGGAGGATAGGGATTAGGTCTGTTTTTAGGGTCGGGAAAAGAAAGTGAACCGCAACACACAGAGCATACGGTTCAACTATGCACACCCTAGTTTAGGCATTCTGGTCTTATAAGAATGGGCAGCAAAATGGCCACTGCTGCCTATTTGCTGCCATGACCTTCAATGTCTCCAATTTTGCGGTTACAGAGGCTTTTGGACCCCAACTCGGAAGACGAGAGACAACTACTTTATCTAATGGCTCTCTGCATTTCATCATACCTCGTTTCCACGTTGTCTGCTGGCTTCTATATGGCTTGCTCTAGTCCACAGCGGCCACTATAAATAAGGCGAGGAGCGGTAGGCGACCGTTAGACATATACGAAATGTGTCTTAACCAACAAGCCTTTTGAGCTGAATTTGATGCGATAGCGAGCTCGTGTTCGAAGCATTCCCAAGCACCCGACTACTTACTTCTGGGTTACCAACCCGCTCACTCCAAACTTTTACATGCGAGCGTTTCCCTTTTGATACCATATTCCTCTTTTATTTGTACGAAACCAGTGGCTTGCATTTCCCTCTAATCTAAATTTAACAGGTAGTAGTGTACCGTTGATTGAAGACTGAGGTGGGTCAAAAACGTTTCTGAATTAGTCATCTTTTTTGGCATCCATTGAGCATCTTCGAAGAAAAAACTTCTGTTAGAGGTTTTGTTTGACCTCTAGCTTCATTTGATTTGGGCAGGTTGGAATCTTTTGACGAACAAATTTCTAATAGTGTTACCACAAATTCAAAGATGCATCGGACAGTCCAAGTCATCCTGATGGATGAATGCTTGGTGCAAGGATGCCGCCTCAGAGCAACTCTCAGACCCAAGCGGTGTTTTCGGTAGCTTCAAAGTTTCTTGGAAAAAACGGTCAAAATCAGTACGCGGAGAATCAAAGGCAAGGATAATTTCCATTGTGCACAGTTAGATGTAGATATGCAAAGTCCTGCCGCAGTAAGATGGCACTTGACCTCGCGTTGTATTTGATCTTATATACAAAATCGAGTAGAATAATGAAACTCCACTCTAATCTATGAAAGCAATCAAATAGAAGCAAATGTCGCACTATCTTTGGGTGTTATCTGGGTACTCACTTGTATATGAAAGATTGAGGGTATACTACAACATACTGGCTATATATATGTTTTCCGAAAAGGTTCGACAATAAATTACTTAATCTTATTGTTTGAATTTTACAATTGCCTTATGTGTGTAAAAATACATGCAGTTTGGGCCAAAATTAAATGGCACTTGGACGGTTCTATCTGGGTCCAGCAATGCAAATACTGTAGCTGTGGTTGTTTGCACAGATATAAGCGAACACAGCTAATCAAATGTTAAGTTGTTCAACAAGTAAGTTGATACAAAAGTATAATTATCAGATATACTCTTATAGGGATCGACAAATATATAGAAACAGTGTATTACTAATATTCTGGATTGAGAGGAAGAACTAGACAGATGGGAAAGAGGTTTAACCAAATGAGTGCCGAAGAGTTTAAGGCACGAAATACTGCGACAGCCCACACCGACGAAGGGGTTTTCTTTGGGAACACTGACCAGTGTCTGACTCAAAAGTCTGACCCACAAGGCAGTGGAGCGTAAATCCAACGCGGGAGCGTGAACGAAGCACCTGTTTGGGAGCTTCTAGAGACCGGTCGCGTAAGACCTTCGGGTTTCCGTTCAGTGCGCTGTTCACTGGTGCGTTGGTTGTCGGTCCGCTTTNACCCAATGAGACAAGCGGAACGTGGACGGGACAGCACCTTATTGGCTAGGAGCTGCCCAGCCTGGGCGGACGATAGCTGTCCAATGAAGTGCGAAGATTTCTCCCACCGTCGAGAGGAAGCCCCAGGTACCCCGCTCTTAAGTTCATTTAGCGGGGTTTTTTTACCGGTAAACTGCCCCTCGTCGTGTTTATTTGCTGGAGTGGCCTCTCCAGAGGCGAGTGTGGATAGTCAAAGGAGGCCAGGAGGTGCCCAAGCAGCTGGCTTTGTGAGACTGACTAGGTTGGTTGGGATAAGTATTACGCATGTCACTAAATAGGTTGCTACGACGGGTGATGTTCGCCTAGGCAGGTAATGGGTGGAAGAAAGCCAAGGGTGGTCAA